CCTCGGCCCAGACAGACCTCCCACTCTGATCCAGGCGAGATCCTCCTTCCTCCTTCCTCCTTCCTCCCTCCTCCTTCCTCCCTCCTCCCTCCTCCTGGTCCCAAGGCCTCAGGGCTCAGGGCTCAGGGCTTAGGCCTCGGGCCTGGGGACACCATGGGTTCGTGTTTTTGTTTGTTTTGTTTTTAGTATATTTTATTGATTTTTTTACAGAGACAAAGGGAGAGGGATAGACAGAGACATCGATGAGAGAGACATTGATCAGCTGCCTCCTGCACACCCCCCACTGGGGATGTGCCCACAACCAAGGCACATGCCCTTGACCGGAATCAAACCCGGGACCCTTCAGTCCGCAGGCCGGTGCTCTATCCACGGAGCCACACCGGTTTCGGCAGGGGGTCTTTTTTGATGGCCTCGGTCTTAGGCCTGACCGGAGCATGGGGCGGCTGACCTCCGTGTGGGATGAGCTCTGGGCCCACAGGTCAGCGCACAGCTTCGCTGCCACCCGGCCTCAGTGTTCTCATCTGTAAAGCAGGCTCGCAGGGGCCAGCTCAGATCTTCTAAAAAGACTGTCCAGACGTAGATCCACCCTGAGACCTGCTGAGTGGCCGGCACAGGACCAAGGCGGGCCGGCCAGGGCGTGGAAGGCCTTTGGAGGGTCCGGAGAAGCGGGCTGGGGGCAGCCGGCGGGCCTGTGTGTGTCTCCCCGTCCGTATCGGTGGAGGGGAGGGTGCCCTCGACAGTGCCTGTGTGGGTTGGGGGCAGGTGCGGTCAGGGGGCTGTCCTGGGGCCCCTCCCTCAGCCCCCCCTCCGCTCCCTCCTCCAGAAGTCAGAGGCAGGAGGAGAGACAGCTGAGACGCTCGCTCGAGCTGCGGGAGAGCGTGGGCTCCGAGAACGCCAGGTGCAACTTAACCGCCAGTGAAGGGTCTGGTGATGAGAGGGGAGCTCGGGGAGGGGGCCACGGGGAGGGGCTGGGGCTGGCTCCTGAGGGAAAGACAGCCGAGGGGAGGGGCAGAGGGGCTGGGCCCAGGAGGGGTGAAGATGTGGAGGAGGAACCCCAGGTGGCCACAGAAGGCCGCCAGCTGTCAGCACCTGCGGGAGGGCAGGTGTGGGGAGAGGGGCGAGGGATGGTCCCCCAGGCATGGCCGCCCCTGGCGAAGCCGCTGAGGTGGAGCCCTCCTGTCCCTCCGATGGCACTTAGCGAATCCGGGCACAAATGAATAGCCGAGTCCAATCGAATTAACCTTCGGCGATCAGCACGGCTAAACAAATTACCCTGGGCCCAACGAGATTACGCGGCCGGCAGACCTCCCTCCCGAGGTTCACGGGGTTTAACGAGTTTCAGCCGGATGCCCGTCCTCCTCCGGTTCCGCGCTCTGCTCCGCGGGCGGCTCCGGGCCACGGCCCTGGGATGCCGAGGGAGCCGGACACGAGGCAGCTGAGGGCGTGCGGGGTGCAGCGGAGGGGCAGGCGGCCGGGTCAGACCAGAGACGGCTGGTGCCAGCGGCAGACGCCGCGGCCTCCCCGTGACCCCCACGCCGAGGCATCGCCTCACACGCACCTGCACCAGGAGGGACCCGGGCCAGGCCGGGCTGGGTGTCCCAGAGTCAGACCATCGGGCGGAGGCCCTTCCGGTCGGAATGAACGCAGCTGTGCCTCCGGGCGCCGGCAGGGGCCTGGCCCGGGAGGGGAGGAGGTCAGCCCCTCCCTGGGCAGCGGGCAGCGGGCAGCGGGGAGTCAGGGCTTCTGGTCAGTCCACGCTGTCTCAGCAGCGATGCTCCACCGAGCATTCTGTGGCCTCCGCCGCCCCCCAGCGGGGCTGTCTGGCAGCACAGGCGCCACTGCTGCCCGTCAGCCAGCCGCTGGGCACCCTGCAGCTCCCAGCACGGCCCTCCCCTGGTTCCAGGGCCCAGACCCAGCTAGCACCGACTGGGGGAGGGGGACCCGAGGTGCGAGTTCTCGGGGCAAGGCCCTGCCTCAAGGCCGTGTCTCCTTCCTTCCTGTTTGTCATAAACACAGAGGATGCGCCACCGCCAAGTGCAAGTGCACATTTACGTGGGCAAAGGACACCCAAGTCCCATAACCCTCCCTCCCAACGAGGCTCAGCGCCCACCGCCGGCCTCTGCCTCCCGCTCCCTCCTCGCAGTTTTCCTAGGAGGTCTCTCCTCCTCTTCCTCCTCCTCCTCTCTCACTCACACTCTCACACACTTTGCAGCCCTCCCCTGTCCTCTGTGGCAGGAGGTCTCTCCTGTTCTCTCCTGGGACCCGGAGCTGTCTGCGGAGAGGTGGGCCCAGGCCAGCACCCAGCAGGGAACACCCACTGAGCGGGTGAACGAGCAGGTGCCCCCCTTTTACAGACGAGGCACTGGAGGCGGGTAAGGAGGAGCCGGCCCAGGCGGTTGGCTGGTGAGCGCCAGAGCCGGGCAGGGCCTGGGTGCTCCCTCCCCCCTCCCCCTTGCTTTGCCCGGTCAGCAGGCCTTTGTCATGGCCCCTGGCCAGCAGCCCTGGCCCCTGGCCCCTCCTCATAGGAGGCAAGAGGGCGCACACGGCCCCGGGGGTCTGGCTTGTCGCTGTGGGCCCACAGCCCTGTGGGGGAAGAAAACTTTAAACTGCTGACAGAAAGGCTTTCAGGAATCATATGTGGATTGAAGCTTCATTTATTAAAGAACGGGGCAGCCCTGGCTAGTGTGGCTCAGTGGATAGAGAGTTGGCCTATGGACTGAAGGGTCCCAGGTTCGGTTCTGTCAAGGGCACAGGCCCAGGTTGCAGGCTCGATCCCCAGTAGGGGGTGTGTGGGAGGCAGCGGATCCATGATTCTCTCATCATTGACATTTCTCTCTTCCTTCCTCTTATATATTAAAACAGCTGAGCCGATGGCAGACGTGAGTGCGGGAAGCGGGTGTTTCCCACGGGCGGGCGCCTCATTCTGGAATGGGTGTGGTGGGCGGGGGCGGGCAGAGGACAGTGACAGGCCCAGAGCTCAGATTTGGGACCAAAGCTCGGTTCCGTCGTTTGCTCTGTGATGCTCAAGGAACACCCTCTGTCCACAGAGCCCCAAGCACAGGCACTGGTCCCGCCCAGGGGTCCCACCCATCTGCTGGGCAGGTCCACACCCGCTGGGGACACAGCCCCAAGGACAGGATGCCTCCCGCCACCCAGCGCGGCGGGCAGCACTCCAGGGGGTCCGTTCCACTTGGGGTGCACTGCGCCCCGGGCCCCAGACCCTGGGCCCGGCAGCAAGAGTTCTCGTTGAATTCCCTTGGGAAGTGTTGGCGTGCCAGGCCCAGGTCTGTCTGTATTGGAATGCTGGGGTTCTCGGGCGGCTCTTTCCTTCCCTTTCCCCCAAGAAAACCTCAGTGTCTCCCCCCCCCCCCCCCAGACCAGCTCCATTTGGGAAAATTCCCGGCTCGCTGCTTTTCCCAGACACCTGGGTGCTGTGGGGCTGACCCTGAGCTGCGCTCCCATCCCCGCTGGGGACATTGCCCCCCTAGCTGGGGCCACATCACCACCAGCCGGGCAGGCCTGGACCACGTCACTCCCCGCAGAACTGCCCCAGAGACGGGGGGGGGCGGGGGGGGGACGACACAGCAGAGAGGGTGGCCTCAGCCCCCACTCCACCTGCCACCTCTGCTGCTGCCCCCGCCCCCCGCCCCCGGGACAGATGTCCTCCCTCCTGCACCACCAATCATGCCTCAGACATGGCAGGAGTGACGGCGACAGCAGAGGCATAGGAGGAGAACTGGTGCGCTGGCGGCAAGTGGATCAGTGGAATATAACCACCCAAACACTGACCCTGCGGGGGAGGAGGAGCGGGGAGGGCGGGTGGGGAGGGCGGGGGAGGACCATCAGCTGGACGTAGGTCTCCTGCTCAAGGCACAGATGCGTCCCATCCAATCCCCTTCCACCTCCTTGTCCTGGCCTGAGACAGCTCAGCTGGACAGTCCCACCTCCTGGCCAGGTGCCTTAGGAAAGGAGGCTGAAGAGCAGGCAGAGGGGTTTTCCACCCAACTCTGAAAAGGAGGGAGCCCTGACCTGTTTGGCTCAGTGGATAGAGCGTCGGCCCAAGGACTGAGGGGTCCCAGGTTCGATACCGGTCAAGGGCATGTACATTGGTTGTGGGCACAACCCCAGTAGGGGGTGTGAAAGAGGCAGCTGATCGATGTTTCTCTCTATTCCTCTCTCTTCCTCTCTGCAAAAAAACAATAAAATATATATTTTAAAAAAAGAAAAAGAAAAGGAGGGAGGTGGAGGTTTAAAGCCCAGATCCAGCCCTTGTCAGCTCTGTGAAATGTTTCTACTCAGCGGAGTTGCTAAGATTGAATGAGTTACTAAACAAAGCACTTACAGCACTGCTTGGCTCACACTAAGGGCCACATAAACGTTAGCTGTTCTTCTGCTCCCTTGGGTGTGAAAGGCTCCCCAGATGGGCTTGGGGGAGAGGGGTGCCCACAGACACCGCCCTGCTAGGGGGCAACGGGCTCTGACCAAGGCTCTCTCCTGGGCCACACCCCTCGCAGGCTCCCCGGCTCCAGGTCAACGAGGCCTCCACTTCTGTTGCTTCTGCATTTTCCGATTTTAGCAAGAACCCCATCACCCCAGATGTTCCCTCTTAGTCATTTCCCCACTGGCCCGGCGGCCCGGGCGGCGGGTGGCCTGGCTGGTGCTGTGAGGCCGGGGTCACAGTCCTGCACTCGAAGGGCTCTGGGGGAGACCGGTCGGGAGTTCCCAGCTGGGCAGGTGCCAGTGGGCAGCCACGCCCGGGCCTCTGGCTCCAGCAAAAGGCTGGTCCCGCCTCAGCAGCCCCGTCCTCTGTCCTCGCGCACGTGGGCTGACACGCCTTTGAAGCAGCGGCCCATCCTCCACTCTCCCCCAGGGCCCGGCACCGCGTTCCCCGGCGTCCAAAGGGCGTTTCCCGGGCGCCGGAACCCAGCTGTTCACCCACAGCTACTCCCAGGCCGGAAGGCCCGGCCGGGGACCGGAAGCCGTTAAGGTTGTACTTCCGGTAGAGCAGCGGGGCGGGGCCTAGGGGGCAGGTCCGCGTCCTGCGTCACTTCCGGGCGCGGTGAGCGAGGTGAGTGTGGGCGGGATGGCGGGTCCCGTCCCCCAGCGCGGACCGAAGCCTCCGTGGCGGCCCCGGGGCGGCGGCCCGGCTGGCTCACCTGCCGGCGGCAGCGCGGAGGGCCGTCCGCTGGGGAGGCCGCCGGGTGCGGAGCGGGGAGCGAGTGAGGCCCCTCGCGGCCTCGGAGACGGGAGCGGGGCGGACATCCCCTTGTTGCCGGCTACACGTGTGTGTGGTCACCGAACGTGGGCGCCTGCGGAAGTTCCGGTTCTGCTGCCCGCGGTGCTCGCTCGGGGCCCGAGGCGGGTCTGGCACTGACGACTTGCTCCTTTTCCTCCCGCCGCCAAGCCGCCCTCCGCTCCTTCCTGTGTTTTTGTTTTATCTTTAAATCTCTATTGTTGAGAGTGTTACAGATGTGCCTTTTTCTCCCCCCATCGCCCCCGCCACCACCACCTACTGTCTGTCCACAGGTTAATCTCCTCCCGCCCCGTCGCCCCGCCCCTCTGTGTGGGGGTCAGAGCTGCCTGTCTCGGAGCCGGCAGAGAGGCCTGTGCAGTAGGTGCCCCGCAGGACCCCGGGGCTCAGCCTCCCCAGGCACCTGAGCTGGGAGCTCCAGGTGCGCCCGCTAGGGCTGGTGCTCCGTCTTGTAATTGAGCCTTGATTGGCGACCTGGGAGGACTGACCTGGCCAGCTGGCTGGGAGGACGGGGAGAGCTGCCTTGGGGCTCACTGAGTGCCCCCCGAGGGTGTGGCTCACGGGTGTGTAGAGTTGTCACCTGCTGTGGCCTGAAGTCGGGTGCAAAGTCGGCCACTGGCTGGGGCCGCCTGGCAGGAGCCCGGAGAGAGCGTCAGATCTGTATGGGCTCGGAGGTGCCCAGGTGAGGCCCCGCTGTGAGGCAAGGCCGGCTGGTGCGAGAGCCGGGCCGGGTCTTTTACTGACAGGCTTGGGGCTCGCGTCACCAGCTGCAGCTCGTTGGAGAGATTTTAGCCAAGCCTGAGGCCTGAGCCGGGACGGGCCGTTCGTACGGAAAAGCCTGGGTGGGGGCTCACTGTGGGCCAGGCTGGTGGGGACAGACACGGGGGCCAGTCACCCCCACAGCAGGGCCGGTCCCAGCACAGGAACAGTGACCCTGTGAGCACCCCCAGGAGGGAGCCACCCCGGAAGTCCTGCCCAGTGCCAGGCAGTCCAGTCCCTCCCCGTTGGTGTCTGGGTCCCTCGCGGCCGGGTGCTGGGAGGAGGAGGACAGTGCGCGGGCCCCTTAAATGGACCGCCGGCATCTCCGGCTGCCTCCGCGCCACCGAGCGCCAGCCCCCTGGTGCCTCCAGCCCGAGGTTACAGACTCCTCTTCGGCCGTGGAACCGGGGCCGGGGCTGGTGTGGCCTGGGACCCCCTGCCCCCCGCGGGCGGGCGGCCCTGCAGCCAGGATATCCCTTCCGGTGAGAAAACGTCCCATGTGGGCGTGGGACCAGCCCATCCGCGCCTCCACCCCCTTCGTCCAGTTGTGCAGCTTCCGTTCCGGCTCAGGCGGTTCTGTGCTTCTGCTGTAATTCTGATGTGGCCGTGGGGGGCGACGGGTACCGCCCTCTGCCTACGCCGCCGTCTCGGTTCTCCCCTTCCTGTCTCTTGTCAGCCAGGGCGCCATTCGGGAGCCAGCCATGGAGGGCAAGCCCTTGGTGACGTCCAAGCAGAAGACGGAAGTGGTGTGTGGGGTCCCCACCCAGGTGGTCTGCACGGCCTTCAGCTCGCACATCCTGGTGGTGGTGACCCAGTTCGGGAAGGTGGGCACCCTGGTCGCCCTGGAGCCCAGCGCTGTGACCAGTGACATCAGCAAGCCCGTGCTCACGACCAGGGTCCTCCTCGGGCAGGATGAGGTAACGGGCTGGGGGACTCCGTGGGGGAAAAGCCGCTTCTGGGCCTGCAAATCGTCCCCGAGACGCGGAGTGTCTGGGTGGCAGCTGCCCCGCCTCGGGCGACAGCATTTTCCACGTCGTGTTGTGAGGTGTGTGCCCGGGGTCCTTTCCCAGCCCCTCGGCATCTCGCCAGTGGCCCCTGTTTTACCAGCAGCCCCACCCCACCCCCGTGGCCAGTGTGACCCCATCGTGAGACCTTACAGTGGCCGCCGTGCTCTGTTCTGGAATCTTCTCACCTTGGCAGAGTCCTTCTGCGCCGTGTGCGCCTGGCGTGTTCTGAGCCCTGTCGCAGCGTACGCTGGGGAGCCGGTCTGGGCTCCTGGGGGTACTTCCAGCATGAAAACCAGACGTGACGTGCTTTCTCCCTCCCCTCGCCAGCCTCTCATCCACGTCTTCGCAAAGAACCTGGTGGCCTTTGTGTCTCAAGAAGCCGGAAACAGAGCCGTCCTCCTGGCCGTGGCCGTGAAGGACAGGAGCATGGAGGGGCTGAGGGCCTTGAGGGAGGTGATTCAGACCTGCCAGGTGTGGTGACCTGGACCTGCAGCCTCACCTGCGCCTGAAACCCAGAGAGGGGCCTGGCTCCCGCAGACTTCGTTTGGCCCCTGGCTGTCCTGGGACAGGGAGCGGGGAGTGCGTGGGAGAGGGGGTGTCTCACCGGCCCCGAGGGGCGCAGGTCTGAGAACTGAAAGGAGGCCTGGCCCTCAGTGAGGGACCGGCACGTGGAGGAACTGCTTTTGTATTAAAACAAGGGCAGGGCCGAGACTGCCCCGCCTTCCTGCAGCGCTGTGACTCCAGCTCGGCACAGGCCGGAGGGGGGAAGCTGGAGTGGCGGACCAGGGCTTGGTTCCCACGGTGAGGGCCCCAGGAGCTGCGCCCCGTGCTCACCTTGCTTCTCCTGTGGCTCCTGAGTGGGGGTGGACAGGGTGCTGCCTCATTCCGGTCTTCCGTCTCCCTGTGTGTGGTCACCTCGATGGGCACACGGGAGGGCCGTCCAGGAGAGGGCATTTCCAGCAGAGGAAGGAGGTGGTGGAAGCGGGGGCAGGCCAGCAAGGCTGCAAGGACCACTCCAGGAACAGGGCATGCCCGTCTCACATGGGACACTGCTCGGTGGCAGTGAGGACCGGGCTCTGGAGAGATGGTGAGGAGTGGAAAGCTCAGCCAGGGAAGTGGGAGGAAGGAGATATAAATATATAATTTTACTGATTTCAGAGAGAAAGGGAGAGAGAAACATCAATGGATCGGCTGCCTCTTGCATGCCCCCTACTGGGGATCAAGCCTGCAACCCAGGCATGTGCCCATGACCAAATTGAACCTGGGACCTTTCAGTCCACAGGCTGACGCTCAGTCCACTGAGCCGCACCAGCCAGGGTGAGAAGTTGGGACGTTCTGATGAGGCGTGCCCCCCCCAGGACGCTGAGAGCCCAGGGCAGAGGCGGGGTGGCCCGGCGCCTCTGCTCAGGGCAGGGACAGCCAGCTCCAGGCTCCGTGTCTCCTCAGCCCACAAGAGCACAGGACGGAGGCCCTCTCCGCCCGGAGTGAGCCCGGAGCCTGGCAGGACTGTAGGACGGAGGACCGTGCGCTGGAGGGAGAGGGGAGGGGGGAGTCAGGAGAAAGAGGCTCTAAGAAAAGCCCAGAAACGGCCCTTGAGCAGGTGCCGCAGACCACGGGGCCCCGGGCACCCGCAGCCTGCCCTCGCCGGCTTCCGCTGTTAATCTTCAGCCCACGCCATCGGGACCTGAGGGTCTCCACACCCACTTCACAGGGGGAGCACCTCCCTGCTGCCGGGCCCACACCCAGCCTCGGCCTCCCCCAGTAACGAGTTCACACCCCCCACCCCCACCCACAAGTGGGCACTGCTTTAACCGTTGGGAGGGGCTGTCCCAAGACACCCTCAGGCCTCCGGCGAACACGCGGAGGGACACACACACACACACACACACACGCGACCTGCCGCACTCGGGTGTGACGGGCACTGTGTCCCCACTTCACCTTGTAAGTGGGCTTCAGACCCTCTCCCGGGGCCAGAGGAGCAGCCACCCCACGCCACACTGGCCAGTGGCCCAGACAAAGCCCACACGGAGGTGTTGGGGTCTCTGCAGCCAAGGTGTACCCCCCACAGGATGGTGGGTGGGGCATGGGGGGGGTGGCCCAGGGCAGCTGGGCAGGTAGGGCAGGCCTGGCAGTGAAGAGTGTTCTGGGTGAGAACAGGCCAGAGTCGTCGTCCGTGTCTCTTCCCCGCTGGGCCGACCCTGCTGCTCTGAGGACAGCAGAGGGCGGGGGCCTCACGGGGCCCAGGTAGCACCAAGGAAGTGAACTGTGTGATTGGGGGGCGGGGGGGGGGGGTTTGCATTCGCGCCCGCACTCGCACAGGGGAGGGATGCGGCATCCAGGCTGAGGCCTCAGGCAGCCCAGTGGGGTGGGGGCTCTGGGAGAAAAACGCACACCTTGAGATTCTGGGAGCCACAGCCCTTCCCCCAGAGGCCATGCCCCCGAGGGAGCCAGGATGCCACCTGGTACCCAGAGCATCTAAGGGCCCCGGTGCACACTCTGCTGACGGGCAGGTACAGACAGGCCCAGGGCACGCAGTTCTCCCTGGAGACCGAGCAACGGGCAGGGGCAGGGCAGGAGGAGGGTATGAAGTCGGGTCCCCAGGGCTGACAGGGTTGCTGGGCTGGTCAGTCCCTTGGCCCGGGAACGGAGGAGCCCACCACGCCATGCCCAGCTGGCAGGACCCCAGGCGGAGGAGCCAGCTGGGCCCAAGTTCTGGCGGCAGCTGGGACCAGCTTTTTTTTTTTTTTACATTTTTATTGATTTTAGATCAGGCGTGGGGAACATTTGGCCCACTGGCCATATAGGGCCGGGGAGTTAAGTGGCCTCATTGGTGAACAGGGGCGGGGCCGAGTGAAACTGGAGGAGGGGTCTGACCACCAAGAGGCGACCCCTCCCTGCTCGCCCACCCCGAGGGGCCCCAGAGGAGGGAGGAGTGGCCAGGACAGGCTGTCCTCCAGGCTCTCCCTGTCCTGCAGGGAGTGCTGGGAGGTCAGGAGCCCAGGATCCAGCCACTGCCCCTTCCCTCTCTGCCCCAGCTCCCCCGGTGTGACCGGAGGCCTGAGCACTGAGCCCGTGGCTGACATCGAGTCCTGGCCCAGTGGCCCTGACCCCACGCCCTGGGTGATGGGAGCTAAGCTGACGGCCTTGGTGTGGCCGGGACAAAGCTCAGCGACATGTCCTGCCCCTGCCCGGTGCCAGCAGGGGAGGGCCAGGGGACCCCAGGGGCGGGCCTGGGGAGGCGGGGTGTCCAGTGGCCCTGCCTTGTCTGCCAGCTCAGGGTGCAGCTCAGCTATGGAAAGGGCTGGGGCAGGGGAAGGGGGTCCTGTCTCGTGGGAGAGGAGCCACCTGCCTTCAGAGATGTCCCCAGACTGCCCGCTGGTCTGGAAGGAGGTGCGGTGCCAGATGGAGGCCAAGAGCCACGGGCAGTGGGTCACTGGGGATGAGGGCACTCAGGTCTGGGGCTGGCTGGCAGCTTCTTGCACCCCCAGCCCCTGTCCTGCCGGGCCTGGCCACCGGGTCAGAGTGAACAGTGGTCAGAGGCCCCGGCTGCCCGGAGCTGGGCCGGCAGGTCTGTCCTGTGACAGGCTTGGTTGCTGCCCAGCCTGACAGGAAAATCAGGCCCAGCCGGCCTGGCCACCTCCCGAGTGGGTGTGGGCCCTGACACCAGCTGCCCAGGGTCAAGGTCTCATTCCGCCAGAGAGCCCCAGGGTACAGAGCAGTGGCTCCCGACAGCCCCCGACATGGGCTCACCCACCCACAGCATCCTCCTTGCTCACGGCCTGATCTGCAGGACTGGGCCCCGGAGGACCACCTGGCCGCCACCCCCAGAGCTCAGGGCGCAGCAGAGGGGGGTCCCAGGCCCCCAGTGAGGCAGAGACCTGCAGGCTGTACCCCAGGGAGGGGCGGACGGCCCCAGACTCCCCTCTGCAGATGAGAAAGCAGAGGCCCAGAACAGCTCAGGGCCTGTGAGGTGGCCGAGCAGAGCCCAGGTTTGTGAAAGGCAGACAAGGCTCATGCTGGCAGGAAGGGCCAAGCTGACGCCAAAGCTGCCCCACGAGGCAAAGTCATTGCCCACGATGTACAAGAGGTCCTGGAGGCCTTCCTGGAGGCGGCGGCTGAACAAGAATGTGCCTGGCCTCCACCACCTTCCCGGGAATTGGCGCCCCTCGGGAGCCATAAATCAGCTCTGATGTCAAAGTCTCCTCCCCCCCTAAATAAATAAACACATAAATGTAATTTTTTAAAATCCCCTCGTCCCACTGGTCGCTGGCAGAGCTAGGGGCAGACCACCGGGCCTTCGCCTACCTTTCTGCGCCGAGCAAGCTGCCTGTGAAGAGAGGGCAGAGCTGCCCGGCGGGGCCCAGCGGTCGAGCGTTAACCTGTGAACCTGGAGGTCACGGTTTGATGCCTGTCGGGGCCCATGCTCGGGTTGTGGGCTCCATCCCCAGTGTGGGGCGTGCAGGGGCAGCTGATCCATGATTCTCTCTCTCCCTCTCACTTCTCTATGAAATCAATAAAATATATATATGGATTTATATATATGGATTGTCACTCTTCAAGGCCCTGAGCCCTTATCTGGAGGCAGCAGCCCTGCTGCGCACTGAGCCAAGTTGTGCTGGCCCCTGGGTGCGGGGACAGGGCTGCAGGCGGGTGGGGCTCAGGGTGGGCCCTTTGGCGCCAGGAGGATCTGGCTTTGGCTGGAGGAGGTGGAGCCCACCTGGCAGCACCCGGTCCGGAGCGCGGGGAGGGTCTTGGCGATGAGAGCTGGTGACACTGAGGCCGCGGTGCAGGGGGTCCGGGGGGCTTGCGGGCTGGGAGGGGCTGGCTTGTCCTGGGCTGAGGCTCCCCGGGGAGACAGTGAGGGGAGCAGGCTGTGGATTCCAGGGGTTGTGGCCTCACCCTGGGCCTTCCTGTGTTCTCGGAGACCATGGGAACAGGAATGAGCCTTTGGGCCCAGCGATCCCAGCGATGTGGGCGTGACTCCCAGTGCCCTGGGCGCGACTCCCAGTGCCCTGGGCGCGGGTGCGGGGGTGTCCCAGACCGCACGGAGCAGGCACCTCCGCGCCGGGGCGCAGCCCGTGGAACCGGAGCGGGGCCGGGACCAGTGAGGCCTCCGGCCGTGCCCCCCTCCCCGTGCTGAGCTCGCACCTCGGGGCAGGAGAGGGGGGCTGGGCGCGGGAGTCGGGTGCCAAGCAGAGCCCAGGGCCCCCCAAGCCCAGAATGTTCCCGGCACCTCTGCCCCCGGGACCCCCGGCCCCGCTCTGCCCCCGGGACCCCCGGCCCCGCTCTGCCCCCGGGACCCTCAGGCCGCCCGCCTCTCGGGACCCCCTGCCCCGCTCTGCCCCCGGGTCCCCCTGCCCCGCTCTGCCCCCGGGACCCCCGGCCCCGCTCTGCCCCCGGGACCCCCGGCCCCGCTCTGCCCCCGGGACCCCCGGCCCCGCTCTGCCCCCGGATCCCCCTGCCCCGCTCTGCCCCCGGGACCCCCGGCCCCGCTCTGCCCCCGGGACCCCCGGCCCCGCTCTGCCCCCGGGACCCCCGGCCCCGCTCTGCCCCCGGGGCCCCCGGCCCCGCTCTGCCCCCGGGACCCTCAGGCCGCCCGCCTCTCGGGGGAGCAGCCGGCCAGCTGGCACGGGGGTGCGGGTAGGGGAGGCCCGGCGGCCGGGGTGCGGGGACCAGCTGCCGCGGAGCACAGCCCGGGGCTCGGGTGTCGCCGGGGCGGGGCCGCCGCTCCTCCCCAGGCCCCTCCCACGGACCCGCCCCCGAGGAGGCCACGCCCCCGGCGCCCGCAGGTGGCTCAGGTGGGCGCGCCGCCCCTGTGGCCCCGCCCCAGCGGAGGCCCCGCCCCAGCCAGGGGGGCCGCCAGGGGGGGCCACGTGGCCGCACAAATGACCGGCCGGGCTCCCCTGGCGGCCGGGCCTGCGGGCTGGGCCCGGAGCTTCCTGCCGGGAGGTAGGTGCGGGGCTGGGGCGGCGGAGGGGCAGCCGGGACCGCCCGCGGCGGGGCGGGAGGGAGGCGGGATGCGGCCCGCAGGGTGGCAGCGGCGGAGCCGGGTGGAGGCCGTGACAGAGCCGGGCCCCAGCGTCCCGGAGCCCGCGGGTTGGGCCGGCCCCTCCAGCCACCTGCTCCCCAGCCAGGCAGCCGCCACCGGGCTCCCCGCTCTCCAGACAACTTCGGCCCCCAACGCGGGCTCCCCACAAGCCGGGCCGGGAGCCGCGGCCCGGGAGCCGCCTCCCCGTGCAGAGGGCCCGGGCAGCCTGAGACGGGAAGGGGCAGATTGTCCCCTGGGCTCCCCGGAGCCACAGGGAGGCCAGCGTGTGGGCTCCTGGAGGGGGACCCTCCCTGCCCCCGGCCCTGGCTGCCCTCAGACACCTCTGCCCTGTCCCCCCGTCCCCCCTGTCCTCCCTGCCCTGCAGATGGCTGACCCCTCGGGACTCCTGGGGGCGGCAGGTGCCTCCCCCGTGTCAGCAACCCGGCTGCAGCCCAGCCCGCCGCCGGCCGCACCCACCGAGCCCTGGGGGCCGCAGATGGCCGGCGGGGGCAACAGCTCGCAGGCCCCCCAGCTGTTCCTCACCAGCGCGCTGGCCCGCGGTGTATCGGGGGTGTTCGTGTGGGCCGCCCTGGTGCTCACCTGCCACCAGGTAAGCCTCCCTCCGCGCCTCCGTCACCGGGCCCTGACCGGCCCGGCTGGGATGGTGCCTCACGCGGTGGCCGTGGCGCCGCTGTCAGCCGGATAGACGGAGGAGCCGTGCCCGGGCTCTCGAGTGGCAGCAAGCCAGGGCACAGGCGGGGAGGGGGGGCGGGAAGGTGAGGTCTGCCCGGCAGAGGGCAGAGGCCTTCCCCCTGCTCATCAGCCCTGCTCAGAGGGCAGCAGAATGGTCCGGTTTCACAGAGGAGAAGACTGAGGCTGGAGAGGGCGGGGTCTTTGGCAGCTGCCCTGGCCGGAGGGGAAGAGCCCTCCTTCCTCCACGGCGTTGTCCCCGGAGGCGGCTGAGGGCGGGACCTGCTCTGCGCGCGCTGAGAGTCAGCAGGCTCAGAGCTGTCCCCTCAGACCCCTCACGGGGGAAGCAGGGGGCAGAGCGATGTGCCAGCCCAGAGGACATGTCTGCCCGGGAGCGGGTGGCCACCAGGGCGAGGGCCCCTGGGTGGAGGGGCCTTGGACATCGGGTGGGGCGCGGCCCTCAGCCCGGGTGCCGGGAGCCATGGCTGGCCGCGGGAGCTGCGAGCAGAGCTGCCCACCAGGTTCTTCAGCCGGCGCTGGCGTGGGGACTGGATTGGCGGGCAGGGACGTGGGCACCCCTCTCGGCGACAGTCGCCTGCTTTGTGGCCTCAGGTAGAAATGCCGGACACGCCGAAACCGGTGTGGCTCTGTGGATAGAGTGTCGACCTGCGGACTGAAAGGTCCCGGGTTCGATTCCGGTCAAGGGCATGTACCTTGGTTGCGGGCACATCCCCAGTGCAAAAGGCAGCTGATCGATGATTCTCATCGATGTTTCTAACTCTCTATCCCTCTCTCTCTCTCTAAAAAATCAATAAAATATATATTTTTAAAATAAAAAAGGAGAAATGCCAGACGTAAAACAGACACAGGCGTGAGGGTGGGCCAGGCAGGCCCCGGTGCCGCGGAGGGTGGGGAGGGTTCCTTCTGGTGGGGCCATCGGGGAGGACTGCCTGTAGGAGGCGGGAAGACGGGCAGGTGGGTGGCACGTCCGATCGGCACGAAGCCACACCTCCTCCCCGGGAGGCTGTCTCTGCAGATGAAGGCCAGAGGGCGGCGACCCAGAGCCCAGGGTGGGCTGTCCCCGTCCCCCCTGCAGCCTGAGCCTCTGGTTCCCCGTCTGTCTAACCTGGACCTGTGTGTGTGTGTGTGTGTGTGTGTGTGTGTGTGTCTGTGTCTGTGTCTGTGCTTGCCGGGGTCCTGCCGCCTGGACAGGCTGACGGAGATGCTGGGCTGTAGCTCTCGGGCCCCACCCTCGGCCCCACCCCTGCCCACCCGCCCCCCTGCCAGGCTCTGCCCAGCGGGCCCAGCGGACAGACAGGAACGCAAGCCCTTGCTTTAAAGACAAGAACCAGGCCGGCGAGGGCAGCGTCCGGCCAAGGCCACGCAGCCCGGCCGTGCCGGCTCCCGGAGCAGAGTCCACTCTCACCAGCGAGGGAGTGAGCGGCCGATAAGGAGGCTGTTCCCGGAGCCGCCTGCCCCGCCTGCCCTGGAGCTGCCCTGGGACGCCGGCACGCAGGCCTCTGCTCTGGACTTCCTCTGCGCAGCCTCCCTGCCACGCCCTGCTCACGGCGCCTCCTCCTGGCAGCCCTCCGAGCACGCAGCCAGGCGCCAGCCGCCGGCTCCTCCTCGGGACCCTGTCTCTGCTGTTTTCCTCCCCCGAGGACATTCCCATTGATCTTCAGGGAGAGGGAAAGACCGAACATCGATGTGAGAGAAACACACCGATGGGTTGCCTCCTGCACACGCCCCAGCCCAGGCCGGGGCGGGGAGGAGCCTGCAGCCGAGGTGCGTGCCCTTGGCCGGAATCGGACCCGTCGGTCGCAGGCGGAAGCTCTATCCACTGCGCCACGCAGCCAGGGCCCGTCATCTCTGGATGTTCCCGTAGAGAAACCACGAGCTTTGTCACCTGTTCCCGTTGCCCCGGGCGGGGCAGCCTCTCCTCCGGGTGGACGGTGCGTTCCCGGGGCATCGGGTCCTGCCCGCTCGCACCCTGGCGCGTCTGCCCCGTCCTCCCAGGGCACGTCCCGTTCTGGCTGCGTGGCACCCTGGTGCGTGGCCGAACCCGGCGTGGTCCTCAGGGTGCTCGGCCGGACCAGCACCCTTCGTGGCCTTTTACTAGAAAATACGTTTGTATTGATTTCAGGGAGGGAGAGGGAGAGGGAGAGAGAGAGGAACATCAGTGATGAGAGAATCATCGACCAGCTGCCTCCTGCCCGCCTCACACCGGGGATGGAGCCCACAGCCTGGCCATGTGTCCTGACTGGGAACCGAACCCTGACCTCCTGGTGCCTAGGTTGGCAACCACTGAAAAACACCTGCAAGCCTTTCTTCATCTCCTTTTGGGGGTCAAAGGGTACCTCCCCGTCGAAATGCCAGACTGCCTTCCGGAATGTCTGTGCCCCTGAGACCAGGACTGCCCTTGGCAGGGTCTCCTCAAATGAATGAGTGAATGATTGAGTGAGTGAATGAATGAGTTATTGAATTAATGAATGAATAGTGAGCGAATGAGTGAGTGAATGAATGAATAAGTGAGTGAGTGAATGAATGAGTGAGTGAGGGAATGAGTGAGTGAGGGAATGAGTGAGTGAGTGAATGAGTGAGTGAGTGAGTGAGTGGATGATTGAGTGAGTGAGTGAGTGGATGATTGAGTGATTGAATGAGTGAGTGAATGAATGAGTTAGTGAATGAATGAGTGAATGAATGAATGAATAAGTGAGTGAATGAGTGAATGAATGAATAAGTGAGTGAGTGAATGAGTGAGTGAATGAGTGAGCCAGTGAGTGAGCGGATGAATGAGTGAGTGGATGATTGAGTGAGTGAGTGAGTGAGTGGATGATTGAGTGATTGAATGAGTGAGTGAATGAATGAATAAGTGAGTGGATGAATGAGTGAGTGAGTGCACACATGCACCGGGGGATGAGACCGCACAGGGTGGCAGCCCCACGCCCTCTCCTCCCCCCAGATCTACCTGCACCTGCGCGCCTACACGGTGCCCAGCGAGCAGCGGTACATCGTCCGCCTGCTGCTCGTGGTGCCCGTCTACGCCTTCGACTCGTGGCTCAGCCTGCTGCTGCTGGGCAGCCGCCAGCACCACGTCTACCTGGACTCCCTGCGGGACTGCTACGAGGGTGAGCCAGCCCCCGCCGTGTCCCCGCCCAGTCCCCACCGAGTCCGGCCGGCCGGGCCTCCGGGGGCGCCCCACAGCGGGGTCCGCCGTGCGGGGCCGCCCAGAGCCCAGAGGGACACGGCGCTCTTGCCGGGTGGGCTCGCCGGTGGGCGTCAGAGCCGCCGCCTGTGCCCCCAGGGGCGGGGCCGGTCCAGACTGAGCTGGGAGCCGGTGAGGGCGTGAGGGGAGGGTCCTGCGATGTGACCCTCCGTGAAATGGGGTCAGCGTGGGGGTCGGGGCTCCCAGGCTCACTGCCCGCCCCCCGGGCTGGCCCTGCAGCCTTCGTCATCTACAGCTTCCTGAGCCTTTGCTTCCAGTACCTGGGCGGGGAGAGCGCCATCATGGCTGAGATCCGGGGAAAGCCCATCCAGTAAGCGCCCCCCAGCCCAGGGGTCCCCCTCGCCTGGGCAGCGGGCGGCCGGCCTGGGACCGGCCTCAGGGACTCCACCCCCAGGTCCAGCTGCCTGTACAGCACCTGCTGCCTGCGGGGCACGGCCTACTCCATCGGCTTCCTGCGCTTCTGCAAGCAGGTGAGGGCACCGCCCGCCCGCCCCATCGCCCTGCGCCCCCCACACCCACCCCTCACCCACTCTGCCCTTCCCCCCCCACATCCCCTGCCCCACTCCGCCCTGTGTCCCCCCACTTTCCCTGCCCCACTCTGCCCTGTGTCCCCCCACTTTCCCTGCCCCACTCCGCCCTGTGTCCCCCCACTTTCCCTGCCCCACTCTGCCCTGTGTCCCCCCACTTTCCCTGCCCCACTCTGCCCTGTGTCCCCCCACTTTCCCTGCCCCACTCTGCCCTGTGTCCCCCCACTTTCCCTGCCCTACTCTGCCCTGTGTCCCCCCACTTTCCCTGCCCCACTCTGCCCTGTGTCCCCCCACTTTCCCTGCCCTCGCCCACGCCCAGGCCACGCTGCAGTTCTGCGTTGTGAAGCCGGTCATGGCCCTGGTCACCATCGTCCTGCAGGCGGTTGGCAAATACCACGACGGAGACTTCAAGTAAGGCTGGCAGGGTGGCCGCGGACATGGGGGGTGGCCGCCGGACATGGGGGGTGGGCCGTGGGCATGAGGGGTGGGCAGGGCGCAGCCCCTGGGACAGGCCCCTCCTCTCAGGAGAGTGCAGGCAAGGCCCTGTCCCAGGTGAGCCCCAAGGAGCCCAGGCCCAAGGCCTGAGGGTGAGCCAGGGCTGGATCGAGGCACTCGGGCCAAGGTACACACACACACACACACACACGCACACACACATACACAGATGCACACGCTCACACACAGGCACCCCTACCAGGCAGTGAGCGGGCAGGTGGGGAAGGGGCAGCCACATCTTCACCGCTGGGTCCGGATTCCCTGCCGGGCCCCAGCTCCACCCCTGGCGCCCCCTGCGCCTCTGGCGGGAGGTGCAGGTCTGCTTGTTGTTGGCCCAGCCGTGGCCCCTGACCCCTGCTGCCCTCTGACCCCCGCTGCTCTCTGACCCCCGCTGCCCCCTGACCCCCGCTGCCCCCTGACCCCGCTGCCCCCTGACCCCCGCTGCCCCGTGCTCAGCGTCCACAGTGGCTACCTCTACGTCACCCTGGTGTACAACGCCTCGGTCAGCCTGGCACTCTACGCCCTGCTGCTCTTCTACGCCGCCACCCGGGAGCTGCTGCGGCCCTTCCGGCCGGTGCTCAAGTTCCTCACCATCAAGGCCGTCATCTTCCTCTCCTTCTGGCAGGGTGGGTGGCCGGCGCCCATGGCCGGTCCCTCCCCCCGGGCGGGGCCCTCAGCCGGGTGCTGGGCTGCAGGGGGGTGGCCCGCGGAGGAGCGGCCCATCAGCCTGGGCCGGCTGCGGGCACGCCCAGCCACTGGGCAGCGGAGGACGCGAGGCGGGCGGGTCTGGCTGCGGGGCCCCGCACGGCGGGTGCTGAGCGGCCGTCCCCGCCAGGCGTGCTGCTGGCCATCCTGGAGCGCTGCGGCGCCATCCGCGAGGGCCAGGCCGCGGACGGGAGCCGGGTGGGCGCCGGCGCGCTGGCCGCCGGCTACCAGAACTTCGCCATCTGCGTGGAGATGCTCCTGGCCTCCGTCGCCCTGCGCCACGCCTTCCCCTGCCGCGTGTACGCCCAGAAGGACAGCTCGCCAGGTGGGCGGCCCCGCGGCCGGGGCGGAGGGAGCCGGGGAGGCCCGGGGGGCGTGGCGCGGGGTGCCTCCACACCCCGTCCCCATCCGGGTCCCCACATGCCAATGTCCACGCGCTGGGCAGGACAGGGCGGGGCTGGGGCGGGCCGTTTGACACGGGCCCCAGGCGCCTGGGCAGCCGGGCGGGGTGGGTTGTGTGGTGTGCCTGCACATGGCCCCTGTGGGCAGCCCCCCGAGGGAGGGCAGGGGCAGGCGGTGCCGGGCTGGGGTTCGAGGGGAGCAGGGCCGTGGTGACCAGCCCCCGTGCCGCCCGCAGGGCCCCCGGCGCCCATGCAGAGCATCTCCAGTGGCCTCCGGGAGACCATGAGCCCGCAGGACATCGTGAGTGACGCCATCCACAACTTCTCGCCCGCCTACCAGCACTACACGCAGCAGGCCACGCACGAGGCCGCGCCCGGCGCCCTGCCCGGCGCGGGGGCCGGGGGCAGGAGGAGCCGCAGCATCGAGAAGCGGATGCTGATCCCCTTGGAGGACCCGTAGGCCGGGGTCTGGCCGCCGGGAGAGGGCAGGGCCCCTCGCCCCGGCCCTCCGCCAAAGGCCCGGCCTCTCTGGGAGCTCCTGCCGGCCCGTGGGAGCCGGCGCCCGGCTGTCCGAGGAGCCAGGGACCCGTGCAGCTGGCCACGCCCTCCGGTGCTGTGTGGCGGCCGTGGGGCGGGTCTGGTCGGTCCTCTGGGGCGCTGCTCCCCATCCCTCACCCGGAGGTGCTCCCTGGGGGTGCGGGGCCACCAGCCGAGCTTATTTATGCATAAACCGGGCTTTCCAGGACTCCCGAGGCCTCTGTCCCTGCAGGGCCGCGCCCTGATGGATGCGGGCGGCCAGGTGGAAGGGGCCCGTGGTGCCAAGTCTGGGTTCTGGGGCAGCGTCCCAGCTCCGAGCAGGACAGGACGGGGAGCTCACCGAATGCCCTGCCCCGCGCCCCCGAGGCTGGGACCCCCTCACAGCCCCTCGTGCCAGCCCCGCCCACGTGGGTCCAGCCACACACACACAGTGGGAGGGTGGAGGAGCTGGGGCCCGGAGGCCACGTCCTGTCCTCTCCTCCGCGTGTGCGTGTGCGTGTGCGTGTGCGTGTGTGGGCGGGGGGAGGGCGGTCTGGGTGCTGCCGGACCTCTGGGAGCCTGGAAGTCGGGGTCACACGTGGGCGGGCCTAGCAGGAGGAGGGGGCTCTGCAGCCGAGGCTGCCAGTGTTGGTCTGTCCCGTGTCTGGCGTCAGCAGGTGGGGGGGAGGGGGGGGGAGGGGGCCGGGCAGTGGCACGGGCTGCCCACAGGCAGGAGGCCCAGTGGCCATGCCCTCGGCCCCCCTTCCACCCCCCACCCTCGGGCCGCCTGCTCCCGCGTCACCAGGGGACGAGGCAGAGGTGCCAGGTCCAGACTCCTCAGGTGGACTGGCCAGCGGTGTCCACAATGGCGGGGTCCTCCCTGGGCCTGGGACGGGCTCCGGGGCAGCCTCCCGGGCCCAGCGGCTGCTGATAAGAGAGGCCGCCCCCCCTGCGCCCGCTGGAAGGTCCCCCGAGGCTTATCTGGCCTCTGCAGCTGGCGGCCGCCAAGCCGCACACCCAGGCTCGGCCCTCCCGGAGGGAGAGGTGCCGACCAGCCGGGGGCCTTGTGGAGGCTGAGCCGGGGAGCACCCATGTGCCCCCCGCAGGCCTGAGCTCCCAGCGCTGTGCACGGCAGTTAGAGGCCCAGGGACACGCAGGGGCGGCAGGCAGCAGGGCGGGCTGTGCAGGGACAGACAGCGGTGCTGGGCTTGGTGCTTTGGAGGGAGGGGAGGTGGGCGTTTGCCAAGCACTGGCCAGACGGTACTCACTTCCTCGCGACAGCCCGGGAGGCGGCCATGCCCGGAGGCTGAGCACCTGTGGTCACAGCTGCAGAGACCCGTTCTCTCCGTCCTGGCCCCGAGACTCCTGTCGTGGGCAGAACCAGGTCCAGGCTCCTGCCCGCTGGCGAGAGGACCTGGGGCCTCGGGCCTGCCTCCTGGTGGGGCCTGCCTCGGCCACGGGCAGGAGCGGCTTGCCTGGGCCTCGGTGCTCTCGCTGTAAGACGGCCCCGCGGTCCATGTGGAGGGCCTTGGGGGTGGGGGGGCCGGGAGGCCAGGGCCTGCGCCCACCGCTCACATGCACAGGCTCCGGCTCCTGGTCTGGAGGCTCTCGATGATCAGCTGGGCCGGCCCCGGGGATCTGCTCAGCTGGGGACACCTGTGGCTGCCACTGACCAGCTCAGGGTGACAGCGGCCACTGCAGAGGCTGTGTCCGTGGACAGCCCCCGGCCAGCACAGGTGGGACCTCGGAACCCTGCCCACCAACCGGGGAGGGGGCCTGCTGCCCCTCCCACTGGCCGCCCGGCACGGGGCCAGGCAGCTCAGGAGACCCGATCTCAGCAGCACCCGGTTCGGGTGAAGGGAAGTGGGGGGACCACCAACCACACAGGAGACACCCCTGAAACGAGGAGTCTTTATTGCGAAGGTACAAAAGCATCCGGCGGAGATGTACAGCAATAAATTAGGTGTGGCTGTGGGCACGGCATGCCCACGGGGACAGGGTCACCAGAGGGTCGTCTCAATAATTTATGTCGGGGCAGAAGCAGCACAAAATAAATATTGAAATGGAATTGCTGAGCGCCGAGGCGAGGGGCGGGCCTGCCCTGGGAAGGCAGGTGCCCGCGGAAGATTCCGGTCTGAAGCCCAGGGCCTCCCTGTCCTCTTAAATAAAAGTCCACCTGTTAAACGTGACAGTGACGGTCATAATCGGGGAGAAGCACGAGGGGTGCACCAGGCCTCCCGCGACCCCTGCCCCGGGGGAGGGGGTAGCTGGGCATTCTAGGAACCCAGTGGGCACCGAGCGGGACACCCGCCAGGCCCTGGGCACACGGGCGGGGCCCAGAGGGCAGTGGGAAGACGGGTCGCAGGCAGAGCTCCAATCTGGACCCTCCACCCGCAGCCCGGCTGTACATGTACAGTATCAAACAGGAAGAGGTACAAAACCCGACGATAAAATGTGTATAGAATTTTATATATATATATATACTTCTCTTTTAAATACTCCCCGGTCCTTACTGACATCCAATGTGGATTACCTACAGCTATGGCGTCGACAGCGCCCACCCCGGCCTCACTCTGGGGCCGCTCGCCCAGCCCTCCTGCCCCCAGGACAGGACGCAGCCGCGGGCCAGCGGTCAGTCCTTCGGGGACAGGCAGCCGGGACGGACGCAGCCCTCCGCCCCTCCTCCCGCCGGCGGGCCTTCACAGCTTGCTGGTCCTCCCGGGCGGGTCAGGAGCCTGGGCTCCGGGGGCGTGGGGCTCGGGGGGCCCTGCAGCAGCGCCGAGGGCGGGAAGCCCCGGCAGAGGTCACCGAGGTCGCCCGTGGCTCCCAGAGGGGTGCAGGTGATGATGAAGCACCAAGGCTGCAGGGTCCCGTCCTCTGTGCAGACACCATGCAGGCGCCCCACCTTCCGGCCTGTGCCGCCTCCTGCACCCCTCTCCTCCCTCCTCTGGCTGCAGGAACCAGGAGCAGCCCAGCTCCACCTCCAACTCCCACGGCTGAGCAGACCCCCTGCGCCAACCCATTCCTCCGAGCTCCCCTCTCCTCCCCCTCCCGCCCAGCCCCCCCCCCAGCCAGGCTCTGCGGGTGGGCAGGGCTGGAGGGCTGCAGCCGGGAGCTGGGGACCTCCCTCGTCACTGACACTGGGACACTGCAGCGCTCCACGCGGCCCCGTGATGCCCAGAGCCTCGCTTTGCCCGTCGCCGGCACAGGGCACGGCCGCGGCGGGCACGGAGCCTGTGGCCCCGGAGACGGCGCTCCTGGGGCAGCTGGGCGGCCCGGGGACGAGGCTCCGCTGCTGGCAGCTGCTGAGGCTGGAGGTGGGCAGGGCCCTGGGGCCTCAGGCCGGGAGCCTCCGAGGGCCCCCCGGGAGACAGACCCTAAAGCGACAGCCTGGAGAGCGGGTGGCCGAGGGCGGCCAGTGCGTGCGCGTGTGCGTGTGTGCGCGTGGGCGCATGTGGGCGCGTGCAGGAAGGCGTGCGGCTCACAGGTCCGTGGACCCTCCTCTCCGCCGGCCCCACGGGAGCCCCGTGGACTCTGCACGTGGCCTTGGTGTTGGGATCGGCCCCGTGGGCCCTCGGACGGCACGAGGGACGTGCCCGGTGCCCCTGCGCCCGGCCCGGCACTAGGAGGCGGCCGTGAAGGGCGCGGAGGGCGACTTGACGATGGTGATGACGCTGGTGGTGGCCACCTTGGAGGGCGTGACGGGCCCGCGGGCCACGGTGCGGGCGAAGGTCTGCAGGGCCTCGTACTTGGAGCGCAGCGCGTCCAGCTCCAGCCGCATGCTGGCGTTCTCCGAGGCCAGCTTCTCCACCTCGCGCTGCAGCGCCACCCGCTGCCGCTCCAGCTCCTCCTTCTGCGTCACCCGCTTGATGCGGCAGCTGGCGGCGTAGCCGCGGTTCTTGAGCGTGCGCCGGCGCTGCTTCAGCCGCACCACCTCCTCCTTGGACAGGCCCCGCAGGTGCTGGTTCAGCTCCCGCACCGACATGGACACCAGCTCATCGTCGCTGAGCACCGGGGCGTTCTCGCCCGCCTCCTTCTTGACCTGCGGCCGGGCACAGGTCAGCGCCGGCCCGGGTCCCGGCAGCCCCGCCCCCACCAAAGGTCACCGAGGTGCACACCGTGGCCACGACCCGGCTACACGGCCACAGCCTCGAGGGTGCTGCCCTGGGCCCCAGAGCCTGGAGCAGGACTGACAGGCAGGCGGTGCCGGTGCACGAGATCCCGGGACCAGACAGGGGCCTGAGGGCGTCAGAGCAGACCCACCGCCCACACCAGGGCCCCACCCCCGAGGGGTCCTCCTCCCGGACTGAGGGCTGGCGCCTCCGGAGGCCACGGCCTCACTCGGTGGCACTCCCTCAGCCCACAGCCCTGGGACAGGCCTCCCTCCTCGCGGCAGACGGGCGCAGACGGCCCGGGCTGCCCCTCTCACCCGCTTACCTTTTTTCTTTTTTTTTTTAAATATAATTTTATTGATTTCTTAGGAAGGAGAGGGAGAGAGAATCATTGATTGGCTGCCTCCTGCACGTCCCCTATTGTGGATCAAGCCCACAACTCAACCTGGGACCCACTGAGCCGCCCGGCCAGGGCGCCCGCTCACCTTTAATGCCTTGTTCGGTTTGGGATTAGTCGTCATAACCTGGGCGCCGTCACCCGCACAGAACTGCCCGGAAATCGTAACTGCAGGCAGAGAACAGAGGCCGCGCGGTCAGTCCCGCTGGGCGGGGCCGCCTGTGCCGCCGCCAGTGACCGAGCAGGGCTGTCCCTCAGCGGAGAGGCCCGAGGAGGCTCCGCTCACCCCCCGCGGTCCAGCTGCCGCGCCGAAAGCCCGGCGGCCCCACCCTCCTCCGGGCGCCCCCAGGGCCGGCCCTGGCCCGGGCGGTGCGGGGCCCCGGGACCCGGCGGATGCCCAGCCACGCCTTCACTCCAGCCGGTGACCCGGGCTGAGCAGAGAGGCTTCCGCGGACTCTCCCGTGGCACCTGTGAGTGCAGGACCCCCGTTAGGGCCGTGCCCACAGGACAGGCACCACGGAGCCCAGCCTCGGGGCAGCACCTGCCGGCAGGAGCCCGGCACCCAGAGGAAGGGCCCCGGGCAGGAGGCGCCGCCCTCCCGCTGGCCTACCTCCGCCAAGGGCTCTGCCGCCGGGACATCACCGCCTCCCCCTGGCTGCCCCTGGCTGGCCCGGCTCAGAGGGGGGCAGGCGCGAGGCCGCCCCGGGGCAGGTGGGGAGGGGCAGCCGCTGGCCTGGGAGCTCTGCCCGTCTGGCGGGAGCTGTCCCGCCAGCCGCCAGCCCGCGCCTCCTCCCAGTGTTTGCGTCTGCATTGTGTCACACATTCTAATCATTCACCAAAAAGCCAGCCAAGCATCCCAAGCATGACTCCCCTCTGATAGTTGCCATGGCGACCTTGGGAAGTAGCCAACCCCTGATGGTTGTCATGGAAACAGAGAAGCCCACAGCAACAATGGCTCTGGGGCAACAGTGCAGACACCACAGGCTGTGGGGCAGTAAGCTCACCCCCGTGTCCCCGTGGCAGGGGCGGGGGGCCCACCAGCTCGCAGGACCCAGTCCACAGGGCATCCTGACACCAGAGACAAACACCACGAGGGTCCCCCGGCTCTGGAGCCACATCAGCCTCCATCACAAGCACGACTCCACCTGCCCTCCCTCAGCTGAAGCGGGACCCTCCCACGGCCCCCCTGGGCCCCCCACCACCCACCACCCCCTCACCACCGGGCCTCAGCGCCCAAGCCTGTGGCCCACCATGCCCAGGGCCCTCTCCCGGGCCCCGATGGGGGGGAGGGAGGTCGGGCTCCCCGCCCTCACGTGGTCACACACGTGTGCCTGGGACGACGGGGCGCTCAGAGCTGCTTCCCAGGGGCGTGACCCTGGCATCGGGGCGGCCGGCGCGGGGTCAGGGCGCTGCAGAGCGGCGGGCTGTGGGAAACTTTCCACGCCGTCGCCCGCATCGCCACCGGTGGTGGTGTCCGGGCTCCCGGCCCAGCCACACGTCATGGGGGCCGGAGCCGGCATAGCTGAGCGGTGAGTCACCGGCTGTTTACAGAGGGAGCGCACATTCCCACAGCCGGCCCCACCCGCGGGCAGCGGAAGGCCGGCGAGGACTGCCTGGACCGACGGCGGGACGAGCGTCCACAGCCAGAGCGGCTGGGCCAGGCGGGGCAGAGCCGCCTCAGTGCCCACCTGCCCACCACGGGCCTGTGCTGGGATGCGGGCACGGGCCCAGGATGCACACAGGATGGGCTCCCCCTCCCCTGCAAGCAGCCCCAGGTCACGCCCCCCACACCCACCAGATCGAGGCCCCTGAGCCGCTGGGGGCCAGGGCCCAGGCAAGGAGCCCGGCAGAGACAGGAGGGGGCTCAGGGTCCCCACCTGGGGCCTGGCCTCGGCTCCTGTCTCAGTTCAGACTTCTGTCCGAGGAGCTGCGGGACGAGAGGGTATGTGTGTGAATGTAGGGGCGACGGGTGGTAGCCGAGGGAGAAACAGCCCAGAAACCCGCTCCTCTGGGGTCTCCACGTACCCACACACCACCAGGACCCCGCGCAGACCGGCCACGCCAACGTGAGGACAGTGCTTTGTAAGGTCAACGAACAGCCCGTGACACGGCTGCTCTCACACCGTCTACTCTGTGTGACCCAGCGGGCAGCAGGGACCGTTCCCAGACGCGGGCACCCAGTGGGTGAGACAGCCTTGGGCAGCCGGGCACCCGCAGAGCCCTCGGCCTGACACTGGCGTCCCCGCACCGGCACTGGTCGCACCAAACACCGAACCCGCCACCCGGGCCCAGCCCTCGAGCATCAAAACTCACACCAGATCCCAGTGCCGGGCGGGCCGCTGAGCGGACCCAGCACCTCCTGGGGGGCCACGGGCTCACCTCCCACCACAGGCCCCACCTGTCCCTTCGGTGGCTCCCTTTCTAACTCGGGGCTGGCTGTCTACCCAAAGCTGGGAGCCTCGCCTGAGGCACATCTGACCAGCCAGCAGGGAAGCCCACTTCCTCAGGGGGACGGTCCCCAGGGCAGCGGGCGAGGAGGGGGGTCTGGCCCCCGGTCACTTTTCTCTCCGGCTCCCAGCAAACCGGCCGCTGGTCTCGGCCTCCTTCCCTCGGCCAGGCTGTGGCCCTCCGTGTGCGCTGGCTGCTCTGGGCTGGACCCGGGTTCCGGGCTGTCAGTAATGGCACTGGAGCGGTGACCCACCCACGCAGCCCTGGGCTCAGCCGGCGGGCAGAAGAGGAGCATAGACCCTGGAAGGTGTACTTCTCACCTGGACTGGCCGGCCGCCCAGCCTGGGGTGAGCCTCGGGCGGGGGCGTGGGGGCCCTCAGCACTTCCCTCCTGAAGGAAGTGAAGGGACGCCGGGCGCTGCCCATCAGCCCGCCCAGCCAACCGATAAAGATGGGCCTCCACTCCGGGCTCCCGGCTGGGGGGGGAGGTGGGGGCGCAGGTCCTGGCAGGGCAGGGGCAGCAGGGAGAAGGGAGGGAGGAACCGGGCTGACTCACCCGCCCACCCTGAGGCCCCCTCTGCTCGGGGGCCCCTTTCCCAAGTGGCCCGATGCCACCCGCCCTGTCACCCACTGCAGACGCCCCTCAGTGGGTGTGCTCCAGAGCCCGGTGGCACCCCAGCCCGGCCCGCCCCGGCTTCAGGCTGGCCTGGCCGGCTGCCCTCCACAGGCATGACTGTGCCGGCCTGAGGACGTCTGGTCACCTTGCTGTGCGGTTCGGGGAAGCTGTGTCATCCCGGCTGCTCGGGGTGACTAAGGCAGTCCCAGCGGCTGCAGGCTGAGCGCCACACCCAGCCCGCCCCTGGACCTGCTCTCCTCACCCGCTTCAGCCTGGCTCCCCAGCTCTGGGTGGTCCTCCGCCCCGGAGGCTCCGTCCTCTCCCAGCCCCTCCTACACGGCCCAGGGACGGCCCACAGGTCCCACCGCCCTGTCCTGCACCCACCCTCCACCCGCTGCCCTGTCCTGCACCCGCAGCTCAGGTGACAACCCACCACACTGTCACCAGAAATCGCCCTCAGGGCCTCCCCTCCCCTCCCCTCCCAAACCTGGCCTGCGGCTTCAGCCCCGCCCTGCGCTGGCCGGCAGCTCGGGCCTGGAGGACCCTGACCGCAGTCCCGCCATGCAGCCCAGCCAGGCAGAGGGAGGCCATCCCCGCTGCCCGGCCTCCTGCCCAGACCAGGCCTGCACCTCTGGCTTCGAGAGCCCCCACAATCTCCACCGACTCCCACTTCTCCCGTCGTCCTGCCCTCCCTGGAGTCGTGGGCACCCTCTCCCTGAGCACACATACTGGCTGGGCTCAAGGTCTGTCCCCTCACACTTACCCCTGCACCTATCCCTGCCCCCACACACCTGCCCCTATCCCTACCCCTACCCCTATCCCTGCCCCCTATCCCTATCCCTACCCCTATCCCTGCCCCCCCACACCTGCCCCTATCCCTATCCCTATCCCTACCCCTACCCCTGCCCCCTCACACCTGCCCCTATCCCTACCCCTACCCCTACTCCTATCCCTGCCCCCTCATACCTACCCCTACCCCTGCCTCCTCACATCTACCCCTGCACCTATCCCTGTTCCCTCACACCTACCCCTACCTACACCTACCCCCTCACACCCACCCCTGCCCCTATCCCTGCCCCCTCACACCTACCCCTGCCCACCCGCCTGGGAGACGAGGTTTGTGTATAAGCAAGGTGTCCACACTGCACCCAGGAGGGGCCTGGAGGGCGGCTTCCACCCAACATGTGCCCGGCTCCCAGGCAGGCAGACAGGAGAGCAGGCAGGTGCTGGGCTGGGCCAGGGCCCAGGCCGGGCTCCACTGAGGCGCGGAGAGTGTGACTGTATGGGTATCATTGTGTATGTGTGAGCGACTGTGACTCTGTGAGTGTATATTAGTGATTGTATGTGTGAATGTGTGTGTACATGAGTGACTATATGTGTGTAACAGTATGTCTATGACTGTGTGTGTGTGTGTATTAGTGACTGTGAGTGTGTATGAGTGTGTGTGACTGTGTGTTTACTGTGTGATCTGGGGTTTATCCCTACCTGTCCTAAAACTCAAGTTTTAAGCTGACACTTCCGACTTCCTGAAACTGTAAGAAAGAGGAAGCATGACAAGTGTGTGATTATGAAAAGCAAAAGTAAACATCACAGGGAGCCAGTTCCTTCCACTGTGGGGCACAGAGGGGGTGGGGTGGGGCAGAGAGGGGGAAGGGGGAAGAGGGGTGTGGGGCAGAGAGGTTGGGGGGCAGAGAGGGGGGCCGGGGGAAGGGGGGGCAGAAAGGGGGGGCAGGGGGTAGGGGTGAGGGCAGGGGGAAGGGGAGGCAGAGAGGAGGGGCAGGGGGTGGGGGTGAGGACAGGGGGAAGGGGGGACAGAGAGGAGGGGCAGGGGGTGGGGGTGGGGGTGAGGGCAGGGGGGCAGAGGGGGGCAGGGGTGGGGGTGAGGGCAGGGGGGAGGGGGGCAGAGGCAGCGGAGGTGAGTCACTGTGGACTCCATGCAGCAGCCCCAGGGCGCTCCCAGTGGGCAGGGCCGCACTTCCCGGTGGACGGAGGACACCCAGGTCCACGCGGAGCCTTTAGACGGGCGGCCAGGCCCCGCAGGCCGCTCGGCCGGGCGGCTGTAAGCACCCCCCCTGGGCGGAGGGAAGCCGGGCCGCGGGCACAGACCGGTGCCCGGGCGCTGCGGCCCCGGGTTCACACAACCCCCGCCCCCCAGCCTCGCTGTGCGCTTCCAGCCTTAGGCACAGGCAGCACTCGGACCCGGGCCACCCCTGAGCTCCCCGCCGCCCTGAAGCAACAGGTGCAGGCGCCGCCCTCCCGCCCCGGGCCTGCACCCAGACCGCCCCCACCGCCTCCCCAGGGGGCAGGTGGGTCCGCCGGTGGCCGGACGGTGAGGGGACCCGGAGGAGGATGACCAGGGCGGCACGTCCCCCCGCAGCCGCCCCAGGACCAGGCAGGTGTCCGGGCGGGAAGACTCCGCTCGGCGTGGGAACCCGGAGGGTCAGGGCGACGGCGGCTCCTGGGAGCCGGGCAGCTCGGTCCCCCGCCCCTCCGAGGCTCCGGCGGGCCCGGCGGGCCAGCCCTCCGGTCCCCAACTCGGCAGACCCCGGGAGGACGCGCTCCGCCCGGAGACGCCCGTTCCCGGGGGAGAGCCGCGCCGCGCGGCCCGGGTTTGGGGACACGTGCGCCCCGCAGGCCTCCCTCCGGGACCCGGCCGGTCAGCGGCCCAGAAGCGGCCTGGGCCGGCGGCCCCGCTCCCTCCCCTCCGCTCCCGATCGCAGCGGCCGCGGCCGCGGGGCGGCGGGCAGCACGCGGGCGCCCGGACCGAGGCCGAGGGCCCGGCGGCCACGCGCTCCGGCACGTGGCGGGTGTTCGCCGGCGCCGTCCCGCCGCGGGGCCGGGCAGGTGGAGCGCGAGGGCCGCGGAGACGCGGAGACGCCGCCCCGCCGCCCGGAGCCCGGCTCCGGCCGAGAAGAAAGGAAGCGATCGGTCCCGGGGCCGGGAACACGCCGCCGCC